CAGCTGGAGGCATCTCCTTGACTTAATCAGTACCACCGACACCCCATTCCCTCCCAAACAGAACCTATAGACAGAAACCCTCCTCCTGTGGCCTCTCACTGACGCCTCTCTCCCTCCCCCTCTTTGTGCCCCTCCAAAGCTCTCCAGGCACAGGGTAACTTGCCCATAGCTTTGAAGAGCCCTCTGCTTGGTTCCCCATTTCCCTCAGTTCCCGAGAAGGCAGAGTGGGGAGGTTCCCAATTTTATTCGGAGGTAAAATGATTTGCCCAAAGGCCTACAGAGAAGGGATGACCTGCAGGACCTTGCTCACCTGGTTCCCCGCCCAGAACCACACCGAATTCCAGGTAGAAAATGCTCCCTGGACATCTCTCTGCTTCCACCGTTAGGGAGCAGGAAGGACACAGAGAGAGCAGCTTAGCATGGAGAGGGGAGGAAAACTTTTGCTGTGGGTTAGCATCCTGGGAGCTGCAAGGCCTGTGGCTTCCGGAGAAAGAGAAAACGTTATCAATAACCCAGAGGCTGCCTGGCTGGGAGCTGCTTCAGGAGCATGTGTCCTTGGCTTCTGAGCTAGGTCACACCAGAGAAGCTGTGTGTGCGCGAGTGTGTGTGTGTTCATGCACAAGGTGTGTGCATGTGAGTTCGTATACATGCACAGACATGTGCTCCTGCAGGTGTGCATGTATGTGTATGTGTAGGTGCATACATGGAAGGAAGAGGACATTTTAAAGAGAATCCCCATAATTTGATTAACAAAATAAACTGATGAATGGAGTGGATCCAGAGATTTGGAAACATGGAACAGTGTGGAATCTCGGAGGGAAGGCCGGGGGTGGGACAGGGAGATTGATGAGTAGGAGATGATCAACCAAAGACTTTGTATGCATATATGCATAACCTATGGACACAGACTATAAGGTGGTGAAGGCCTGGGGTGGGGATGTGAGACGGGCTGGAGGGGATCATTGGGGCAAAGGGGGACCATATGTAATACTTTCAACAATAAAGATTTTTTAAAAAGAAACTTAAAAATAAATAAATAAATAAAATCCCTAAGAAGGTGATGCTTATTGCCAAGGAAGGGAGCGGTGATGGTGGGCTCTCCGGCAGCAGCATTTTCAGCTGGGAGACGCAGAGGATGCCTGAGATGGGCAGATGCAGTGGTGGATATTGGAGCTCCAAAGGTCCAGGCCTGGGCACTCCCTTGAGTGAGGAGAATCAGGCTGGTGGATCTCAGGCTCATAAAGACCTGGCAAATGTCCCCAAGATGAGCTGGAACCTGACTGTCTCCTGACAAGGCTGGGGAGAGGGGTCTTCTGCCATCAGGGAGACCCTCACCTCTCCCATATAAAGTGGGAGACAAGGCGGCGAGCCTGGCTTTCCTGGAATAAGCCAGAGGCAAGGGATGGGGAAATAAGGTCAGGGAGGCCCAGGGGCCATATTGCTTGGTGTTTTATAGGCCACTAGAGGCCTAGTGCATGAAATTCATGCATGAGTGTGGTCTCTAGGCCTGGCCAGTGATGGAAGCATGAGCGTCTGGTGTGGAAGGGCAGGTATCAGGTGACCTCTGGGCCCTTGGCAACACCTGGGTCCCTGACCCCTGTACACGCCCCTCTGCCTGAGTCACGGTGCCCGAGTTCCCACACAAGGGGGCGATGAGCGTGGCCAGACTCCGCGGGCCGGGGTGCAGCGTGGGCCTCTGGGCGGCCCAGTAGCACCACACAGAAGCTGGATGGACAGAGCGCTCTCTCCCAGCCAACCTCGTAGACCAGCTCCTGCACTAACCCACGAGGAACCTGACTGACCGGCCCCTACGGTCCAGGCCGCTGTGGCAGGTCCCAGTGGCTATGGCCCAGCTCACCCAGAAGAGGCCATGGTGGGGGGAGCGGGGGTGCAGGGGCGGGCTCCTCATGGGCACCAACACCATGGCGGGGGGTGGGGGAGGCTACCCCAGAGCCAAACCTTGGCATCCTGGGGGAGGGCTGTAGGGGGAGTGAGAGTGAGCTCGGGAGACACCCTGCATTCTCACCGCACCTCCATCCCCATCACCCCCAGGTAGCTGGCAAGAGGTCACAGCACGTTGCCATGGTGGTCAGCACACATCATAGCGACCAGCTGAACTCCTGGTCTCCCAGTAGAACTCCCAGTCGAATGACCGCCCGAGGGGACAATTTGCATATTAGGCTTTTATTATATAGGCTTGTGAGGGACCTAAAACTTAGACAATTTAGGGGGTCATCCTTTTAAAAATCAAAATTATAAATAAAAACTTGACTCAGGACCTTGGAGCCTATGCAAGTGAGGGGCCTACACGGCACACCCTCCTTTGGACAGGACAACAACTTCTGCTTTTGCCTGGAGTGAGAGGGAGCCATCAGAGGGCTCTGAGCTGAGGAGTGACCTGCCCCAAGTAACCTTTTCACAGGATTCATCTGGCTGCAGAGTGGAGGCTGAATGGGGAGCAGAGAGGGGCAGCAGAGGGTCAGATTCTGAAGACAGAACAAAGATCTGCCGATGGGTAGAAGGAGGCATGAGAGAAAAAAGGCAGAGAAGTTGACCCTAAGGTTTGAGGCCTAATCCAGTTGTCTCCACTGCGGTGGGGAGGAGAGCGAGCACTGACCGGACCTCATTCCATGCAGGTCTGTAGCTCATCTCTTACCACCTCCCTGAGCCCGAGCTTTCATTCTCACAGATAAAGAAGGCAATATCCTCGGAGGTGGAGTATAACTTGCCTGTCACACAGCCAGTAAAGAGCAGAGCCTGGGTTGAAACCCAGTTTTCTCAACTCCCAAGTCGCTATCTGTTCTAATGCACCAGGAGAAGCAAGACTTGCGCCCCAGTAGCATGTCTGGTGGGAGAGGCCGTTCCTGGAGGTGAGCCCGTTCCAGTGGCCACTCCTGTGGGACCACTCCACACGTACCCCCAAATCCTGCAAAGAAAGTTCTCAGCATCCTCTGCCACCCTCCCTGCTGACTCCTCCCTAACCTCACTCCCATCCACTGCTGGGAGAGCTCAGCTGCAACCTTGGAGAAATGTTTTTGGCATCTCTCAGGTTTTCCTAATTCACTGACAAGGTAATGACTGCCTCAATCCATTACACACATTTTCTAAAGGAATTTCTGCATTAGGATGCAAAGCAGGCTTCTCTGGCTTAGAGAAAACCTGAGATTCCTGGGATTTCATCTCCTGACTTAGCTCCTAAATACAATTCATTGCATTTAAATTATAGGAACTGATGATCCCAGGTGCATCTACTTCACGGGCCTAGTCTCCAAATGGGCCCCCCACCATCCCAGGAATCCATATGGCCTGGGTTTGTGTTTTTATTATCATTATGAATTTGAAGGGCCTTAGCTCATCATTTGGGATGCTCAGTTCTACTGTCCATTCCCTAGAATGGCTCCTGCCACTTCCTGCATCCACTCCTCGCGGGAAGCCCTGGGGAAACGGGCACCGTGGTGGAAGCCCTGGCTTGTGAATCTCTCCCCATCTTGAAGCCTTGTTCTTTTTGCACCACATCCCTTCATCACCAGGAGCAGCACCTGGCAGGCCAAGCTGAACAGCCCTTGTGCCCTCCAGCCCTCCCCTAGCCCTCTGCTTCTGGCAAAACCTGCCGGCAAGAGCAGATACTTGATCTCCCATAGAAGTGGTGATGTTACACTGCCCCATGTGCCACTCACCAGACTGGAGGCTCAGGTTACAGCTCTAATCAGGGCTGCTCTAGCCTACAGACCCCATGCCCACCCCACCTGCCCACCCCCAAGGGACAGTCAGATCCAAGGCCCACATGGCCAGTGGAGATGGAGTGAAACAGGATCTGCACGGAGTCAGGGAGCTCACTGAAATGACCCCTTCCCGCCCATGGCCTAGAAAGCATGGACTCTCAAAGCCTTCCCAGGCCATTCAGACTGGACAGAGACTCCCCCAGTCCTCAAACACCTGTATCTCCCTGTCCCCTAGAACTCACTTCCTTTCCTTGTCAGTAGTTTAAAAAGAGTCTGGACAGAGCCTGGGATCACTCCACAAGAGAAACGAACAAACCGTGATCGATGTGGCCGGAGTTTCCAGGCCACCCAAATGTGCCCGATTCCTCCCCAGGTATTCTGGGGCTGCACTTTACTGCTGAGAAGGGCTGGGGGAGAGGGAGAGATTACAAATTCAGCACCAAAAAAAAATTTTTTTTCTGCTATCAGAATAAAGTCAGGCCCATGAGAAATACTGTGACGGGGGAGGTAATGCAGGGCCACCTCGTGTCCATAGGAACACAGCAAAGCCCTCACCCTCTCTTGCATAAAAGACCCCTCTTGTTCAGGGAGTTGGTGAAAACTGTGCACTTGACTTTGTGAAATGTGTGCTAAGATCTAGTCACTGCAGGAAATTCAATCCCAAGACCAAAACCAGGCTGTGGCGAATTTTGGACTTAACCTGGCATCACCGGGAGACTTAGGGAACTCTAGCAGGGCCGTGAGAGCTCCTGGAGTGGCCCAGAAAACGGCACAGAGAATGGTCAGTACCTGCCGAACACCCTTCCCCCTGAAGGAGCGGCTAGAGGCAGATAATGGCGCTCATCCTAGGGCAGAACTGGAGGCGCCCAAGGGATCGTCCAGTCCAACCCTCACTTTACAATCAGAGGGACAGAGGTGTGAAGAGGGGAGGGTCACCCCAGTGCTGACTTCTCCCCTCATTGTGAAGCCACCTCCCACCTTAGATGGTCAAGGCTGAAAGGGGTCCCTCCAAAGCTGCCCAGCACCCACACTTTGCTGATGAGGACTATATACAGAGATTCTGGAATTTCCCAAGGCATGAGGAACAGGATGGGCAGCCTTTCAAACTGCTCTCAACTGTCAGAAATGCCAAGAAACCTCATCCTCCAAGGGCAGCAGTTTCTGAACTTCTGTATTTTTAGCAGCAGAAGCCATCTCCAAACAAAACTTATACAAAACCTCAAGCTACAAAACAGATCAGGGGGCCACCCTCCGCAGGGGAGCCTGAGCCTGAGACTCCTGCCCCAGACCTCTGTGTGGAGCTCAGTCTAAAACCCAAGGCCTTGGGGGGCTTGTAGCCTTGGGTTTCAGATCATGGAAGCTCCTAATTAAGACCCCTGGAGGGGGCGGCTGGTCTCTGAGACCTGGACAACTTCGTTTTCCACCAGGCCCTGGCCCCCATCCCCACTGAGCTGTCTCATGCGCAGGTTAATGGAGCCATAGGTCTTCCTGGAGCCCCTGTAGGGGACGAAGGTCGGCCGGCGGTAGAGCTCGCCCTTGCACAGGGAGATCATCAGCAGCACGGACAAGAGCATGCCGCCCACTGTGAGCAGCCCCAGGCCCGCGATAATGCACTTGTCCAGGTGGGAGCCCAGGCGGGCGTAGTACATCTCTAGTCGTTCCATCTCCCGCGCTGTCACCGAGTCCGGGTTGACATGGGCCTCGCGGGGAATGGCATACGCTGTCACCACCAGGAGGATCCCACTCACCAGGAAAACCAGAGCAGAAGCAAAGCCATAATCCACCGGGCGGCTCACGGGCTCCAGGCCTGGCCCTTCTTCTGAATGCAGGGACAGGTCATCCCGCTGGGATCGGGGCCTTGAGGGTACGCCCCCGGGAGGGCTGGGGGAGCTGCCGAGTCTGATGTCCCCAGGGTTCTGGAAATGGGTCTCATGCTCCTCCGAGGAGAAGCAGGCGTTCTCCACACCCTGCCTGGATGGGGCCACGAGGCCTAGAGGAGCTGGTCTCCTTGGGGTCTGGGGACCGCTGCTCAGTGTCTTCAGTTCCAGACCAGGGGGAGATGCCATTGGGAAGGAGGGCCCCCGCTCATCCCTTGGCCCCTTGGCAGCTGGAAGAGAAAACAGAAAGTCAGTAAAATTTAGCAAACCTCGACCAAGATCCTGCTGGTGTTGGGACGGCACACTGGACCCCAAGCGATGTGCAGATGAGCCAGGCACAGTTCCCACCAGGGGCAGCCTGCCAGAGAGCGGGGAGGTGGGAATGAGACAAAGACAATCCGTGCTAGGATCCTGCTCCACCACTGGCTGGCATGTGGCCCTGGGCAATTCATTTATCCTTTCTGGGCCTCGGTTTCCCCATCTATGAAATGACAGTACTACTACCCCTCCCTTATTTAATGGGGCTGATGTAGGGATTGAGATAATCCATATAAAGCTCTCATGACAATAAGTGCTTGTAAGGAACAGCGACGGGCTATTTTATGGTGGAGGGAATTTAGACACAGTGGCTGTCAGGTGTAAATCCCAGCTTCACCACTTGGTCTTGGGCAAGCGATGTGGCCTCTCCACCCTCAATTTTCTTATCTGTTAAATGGGAATAAGGAAAGTGCCTCCCTCACAGGGTCCACTTGTGGGTTTCATAAAATAATGCATGTGAGGCCCAGCCAGTTCAATTAATGGACACCATTGTGATGAAGTGAGGATGACGAGGAGCAGGGGAGGGATAGAGGTGATGACGGTGGTGTGGAAATAAAGCGGAGAAAGTCAGAAAAGATTCTGTGAGTGGGTGGCATTTGAGCCAGATCTCAGAAGATGAGTAGGGATGGGGGGATGGGGTACCTCACAGATCAGCTGGGAATCCACTCTCAAAGGACTCTACACGTCAGGCCAAGGAGTGAGGGAGGAGAGGTATGGGGACAGGGAGGACTGCCTAGGTTTCAGAAAGCTCTTTCTGGCTGCTGTGTGGAGGCCAGGGGTCCAGGGAGGACTCTGATGTGATCAGGGGAGGCACGGGTGGGGACTGAGAGGAGGGAGCATACTTGAGAGCCACGCTGAAGTCAAAGCCAAATGCCTTCATGTGAGTAGAAGCTGGGGGTTGGAGGGGATTGGAGGGGGCTGCCTGAGGACTGCAGGTGGGGAGATAGAGGGGGAGGGGGAAAGGAGCACGCTGCTCAAAGAGGAGGTGTCACGCCAAAACCAGAACACACTCCCGCACAGTCAGACAGGTAGACAGCACA